CAGTCCTGCGTCACCTGAAGACAATTATGGCACGGGTAGTACAGGCAAGACATACTTTGATGAAGGTGGCTACGTCTCCGGAGATAAGAGAGACAAAGACCCTTACGTACGGAATCGCTTCAACCAAGCCGCATCGGATAATCTACCTAGTAACAGAGCTGTCCCTGATACTAGAAACGCGATGTAAGTTTTATATTTAACAATTAGTTTTCGTCTGCGACTCCGTCCTGGTGAAATTAAAAAAAAAAGTGAGTAGCCCATGTATTCTTTCAGACTACGTTCTACATCAATGCCAAGTTTCATCCAGATCGTTCAGCCGTTTAGGCTACGAACTCTAACAAACATCCATCCATCCAAACTTTCGCATTTATAATGTTAGTAAGATTGTAAAAACGTTTATGAAAATGTGTCACAAAAAAGAGAAAAGTCGTATTCGTCGTATTCTGCAAACTCCATCTATATCTATCTATACTAATATTATAAAGAGGAAAGATTTGTATTTTCGTATTCTTGTATCTAATGAAATAACTCCAAAACTACTGAGCCGATTTCAAAAATTCTTTCACCATTATAAAGGTAATTCTGTGAGTAATATAGGCTATGTTTTTTATTATTATTTTATCGCGCGGTCTAAAACCTGTAATAATTAAGGTCTAATTTAAATCCCTTTCTCTTTACCACCCTTTTCTTATAAGGAGAGGTTGGGAAGGGGAAGTGGACTTGACAGTGGAGGAGATGCATAGGAGGGGGAAATATCCTCTTTATGTGCCTCTCCTCCTCCGTCGTATAAGGGTAGGCAATGTATCTGGAATTGCGGATGTCTATGGGCAGCAGTCGCTTCGCCATTTTGGCGATTTCAGGTGGCCGCTTGCTCGTTTGCCACCTTATGTTATAAAAAAAAATACTTACATATGTTGATGCAATAAGATGCGTCAATTTTAATAGGGCTGAACCAACCTCGACCTGGATCCGACCCTTGATGCGCAAATTAAATTTAACTAACTCTAAATTATTCTGTTATTCTTTAAAGTTGCGTTAAAAATATTTGCGTATTTAAAAATTATATTACAAAATAAAGTGACGGTAATTTTTTTTATTTTTATTCATTAATTTAGTATTTATCATAAAACCAGTATATAATTAAAATTTATTGGGCACAGATGATATGAATTGTAAACTAATCTAGTTTTCAAGGTCTTTTCTCGTATCTTCTATGACCTTGTTTTAATTAAATAAATAAATAAAAAATTAAGTCCGATTAACTACCGAATTGTTTTATTTAATATACTCGTACATTTCGATTAGAATTTATATATCGCATTATTAAAAAGTAGGTCCTTTAAAATCGATTTGCCGTCTTCAGTACTGGTCATTAAATACTCAGTTTCTAGACTACGTCAAGTTTTAAAAGCGTATCTGAACTGTGAATGCATTAAAACTAATTTAGAACCAGATTGGGTCATACGTCGCGTGCTTTGGCCATCGATTACCAAAACTGGAAGCGACAGTTCGCATTCCAAATACCGATTGACTTCTATGGAACAGATATATGAGGACTTGTGCATTTACCTTTAACTAAAGAATAAAAAAAATCGTATAGACCATTCAGTGAAATTTACTAATAATTATTTAATAAGTTTACGACCTGAGGGTTTATTTAGAATATTTCCGATACAGTTGCGAGAACGTATTAACGTTGTCGACATGTGAGATTTGTTGGTGCACTCCTCTTCAGGTCGGGGTGTTACAAAATACTCACGATTATTCGTGATAATCCCTCTTTCTTATGTGATCTATGTAATTCAAAAGTGATATTATGATTGTTATTAACAGGTGCCGTTTAAAAAAATACGATCAAGACCTACCTGAGACCAGTGTTATTATCACATTCCATAATGAAGCTCGGTCGACGCTACTGCGTACTGTTGTCAGGTAAGATTCAATATTATTCATAAATTATCTCTATAGTTAAGTGCCTAATAGACTAGAACGATTGCTTATATCGATTATAGATACGGTGAAAGTTCATAGACCTTTAATAGACGCTTGAAAGGAACAAATTACGAATTAGGAAGAGTGGTAGAGCCCGCTTTAACATCTTCGCACGAATGGGCCGGCTCGCCCGGTATAATACCACGACCACACAGAAAACAGGCGTGAAATGGAAGCAATTCCGCGTTTCGTTTGATAAGTGCGGTGCCGGAGGCCTAATTTTAGTCCCTTTCCCTTTCCACCCTTTTCTTAAGAGGAAAGGATGGGATGGAATGCATAGGAAGGGGAAATGTTCTTTTTTATGTGCGTCTCATCCTCCATCAATTAAGGGTAGGCAACGCATCTAAAATTGCGGATGTTTATGGGCAGCGGTCGCTTTCCATTTCTATGGATTCAGGTGGCCGCTTGCTCGTTTGCCACCTTACGTTATAAAAAAATGTATGTTTTTTTTCAGTGTCCTCAACAGAAGTCCAGAACATTTAATAAAGGAGATCATCCTTGTAGACGACTTCAGTGATAACCGTAAGTTCTTTCATTATTTTTGAGCTTAAGTAAGTCCTAAGTTGTAGAGCAGGTGTAGACTTACAAGGATCATATGGCAGCTGGCAATTTCGTGAACTAACAATGGCAACTTTAAAGCGTTATATTTTAACCAATGAGAGAGCAGCAATAGCACGTTTGAATGTCGAAATTTGACTTCGATAAAGATTTGCATATATTTTCTTCTTAATGGGAGTATTTAAAAAGTTGTTGGGAATTTTTTGCTTATAGGTGACTCTAAATACTAGCTGCCCCCTGTCAATGTCAAAAAATGCCATAAGATCCTTGGGGGTCTATAATAAATAATAATTCTACTTCACTTCAATACGTAGTTAATCAATACTGTGATATTTAATTAACAACACACATGTTAAGAAAAAGAAAACAATAAAGGCGCTTATTAAATTTCAAGCATTGTTTGATGAACAATAGCAAGAGTACATTTCGCTACACAAAGCTAATTGGAGAATTTGATGCGAGCCAGTATGAAAGTGAGTGTTTGAGCTCACAGCCGCTCTATTATACGGATTACAGGTCTCTTAGTAATGTGATCTAACGCATTGTACATTATAGACATTGTAACTCCGGGAATTTGTACGCCATCTATAATCAACACCATAATAATTTTATTATATAAAGAAATATGGCATTTTTTATCGTTTACATTTCAAGTTGCATTTATGTAATGCTACAAAACACAATATCTAATTTATAAATCGGCTAAATAGTTTACAAGAGTGTTGAAAGTAGAAATAACGCAAACGCCTTGATACAAAATGTTTTTTTGAAATCATATTTAAGGAAATGTATCACCCTGTAGACTATTACGTAACGATAAAATGATCATATCCCAGCTGAGGATGGCGCCTCGCTTCGAGCTATTCGCAAAGTTCGCGTGATCAGGAACTCAGCGCGCGAGGGTCTGA